TTTGATGATGTAAGGAATCGAACTCGTGCTTCATCGTCCGATTCACAAAGATGTCCATTCTTAAATAAGAAGGACAAGAATTTGTTGATAACGGAAAGAATTTGAGAGTACACTTTTGAATTTGATGTGTAAAGTGTGATGTCCAAACAGGCCAAAAGGGCGAAAGAAAATATATTCGCTGCCTTTCCCCGTGCAGAAATGATCTCCACATACTTTTTTGTCATGTAAAAAAACAGGAGCTAAAGCTGCTTTATGTATGTCTGTTTATCGTCCTTTCGAAAATTCGAAGGTTACTGTACAACAGTGTCAAATTTTAGAAAGAGGGTGATGTGTAGTTTTTCAAATTTTGAAGGCTATTTTATAAGTAATTATGCCAAAATTGAAGGGATATTGAGCAATTTTCTCTAAAATGATCAAGTATCCCGACATGCCTGCATATCTTATCTCTTCAAGCTTTCGAGAGTGAGCTCGTTAGGATTCACTTCTGACTTATCCTTACATATCCGACATTGAAAAGTCTGTTGTCATCTGACATCCATGACATGTGTGCTCCCTCGTGAATTTAATGAAATGTCTCTATATAATTAGGTTACTTCTTGTCACGCGATTACTTAGTTCAAAATTTCTAGGGATAATTTCTTAAAGCTAAGCTCGTTCCCAAAGTGGGAATCCTGGATTTGCCACTGAATAATTTAGATCTTTAGCCAAGAAAATAACACCTATTGAGCAATCATTTAGGTTATCCAACTTTGTCTGTTTTTTAAAGCATATGTTATCACTGAATATATACTTTTTTTTCTTGATTTACTCAATCTGCTTGAATAATTTTTTTCTAATTTTGCAACGAATTGAAATTGACATCGGATTCCCAAGACTTAATTATATCATAGAAAGTTTATAGGATATATAGTCAACAATCCAGAGACTTGAAACTTGTGAATCACGCATATTGTGAACGTCGACAACTACATGTGAATGCTATTGGACAAAGCAAGGCACGATAAAAAGTAACACCCGTTGAGCAATTCTTTAGGTTATCTAACTTTGTCTTTTCGAAAGCATCTTTAATCGTTGAAACATGTAAATCATGCATATTGTGAACGTCGACAACTACATGTGAATGCTATTGGACAAAGTAAGGCACGATAAAAAGTAACACCCGTTAAGCAATTCTTTAGGTTATCTAACTTTGTCTTTTCGAAAGCATCTTTAGTCATTGAATGTGTCATTTTTTTCCTAAATTAGCTACATCTACTTAAATTCTTATCTTATTCTGAAAAGTATTGAAATTGACGTTGGATTCCCAAAACTTCAATATATCCTTGAAATTTTACAAAAGTTATGGTAGATAGACATTCTATAGACTTGGAACTTGTGAATGACGTGAAACCTCTTGGACAAAGTAAGGTGCGAAGAAAATAACGCCTACCGAGCAATTCTTTAGGTTATTTCGCTTTGTCTGTCCTAAAGCATCTATTATCACCAAATATGTTATCTTTTTCATTAACTTACCAAATATACTTGAATTGTTATCCAACTCTGAAACGAGTTGAAATCGACATTGGATTCCCAAAATCTTTATCCTAGTTTACCGAAGATATAATCGCCATTCTGGAGACCGGAAACTTGTGAATCATGCACATTGTGCGTGTCCACTGTTCCATGTGAATGCTCTTGGATAATGTTAGGCGCTTGAGGCTTTTCTTCGTACGAGGAAGCAAAGTACAAACAAAGGACTCGTGATTGACCTTGCTTTTTAGGGTCCGCTCATGCGCTTTGTCGCAGAAAATGGTAAAAGGAGATCTTATGGGACGTCATCCATAATGCGTCACTAATTATTCGTCATCTAGAGACAGTTTGTTCAGGATGCAATTACCTGATCAATTGGCTCATCAATAGCTCAAATAATTTATTACTGTTACAGAAGCAAGCGATCGAATAAATAAATAAACAGAATAAGAAAATAAATCAGACATTAGATTTACGTAGTTTGATCGTAGTGACCTACGTTCACGGAAAAAGTAGCACGAAATTCCACTATAGATCAAACGATATAATAAGGATTATAATCACATTCGATTTACTCAAGTACCCTCAGTATTTCCTAAGCCCCCAATTACAATTAATAATTCACGCAGTGTTTAGTACCACAATACTTCACAAAATAATCTCTCAATCTCACGAAGAATTTATACATAAATCTTGTTACAAGATTTAATCGACTTCAACACTAAAACTTCTTGTGTAATTGCACAAAGGAAAACCAATGAAAATAAACCACCGCCGAGCACTCGCTTGAGAAATGGCGCTTCCAGATCTTTTTGCTCACATCAAACCCGACGTGCACACTTGTGGCAAAAGAACAGCTCACATTTATACGAGGGGTCCACGGTCAAACATTCCTCTTGAAGTAGAGTCCCAACCCGAAAAGAAAAGGTTGAGAATAAAAGTCCACTTTTCTTGTTGGCTTCTTCGTTTTCTCTGACCCAATCAGCAAACCTACGCTTTTCATTAAAGTCCATAATTTCCCTTTTTTTCTTTTATTCATTCAAAAGGCTTAAACTCGAGATATATTATAACAATCTTCATATTGGCTTGACGTTAATCCAAGTCACAATCGCTTCACTAAAAATTCGAAATTCGCTACTACTCTTTCACAGCCCCCAATGGGCTCAATCGCCACAAGCATCTTCCAAGTCTAAGCCGCGCTTGAACTTCGCTATAACTGTGGATCTCACCAGAACACCAACTCCACATACTCCTTTAATCACTCCACAAGGATTTTCCGACACAACCTCCTTAACCACAGATAAAGCCAAACTAACGTTGCATCCATATCTATCAGAAAATCGAACACGTACCTTGTCCATATCAGCAGTTACAACAATTATTGGCTCTCTGAGCTCAACCTCGCTATAAGCACCATTTATGTCGATTACTTCGCTAATATCCGCTATCTTATGAGTTTTTTGTTGCAACTCTACCTCAAGCTGAACACCTTTCAGATCCGTATAAATACTCCTATAATCACTCTTACCCAGAAGTACTAGAGACTCGTCGAATGTAACTTATCTGCTGAGAACATGTGAATTTAATTCCGCACATCATAACCACCAGCCCCGCTCACCTTGTGCATAACATAGACATGCACTTTTTTGCCCTCCCATCGAGCTTACTATCTCTAACTCAAATATAACATTGGCAACCAAATATTCTAAGAACATAATAATAAGCAATGTTACCTGACCACACTTTTTCGAGAGTCTGACATCTAATCGTAATTGATGGGGATCTATTCATCATGTAACTCGCCGTACTAAGGTAGCGAATGATAACCATTCTGTTTCAGAATGAGTTCCTGAACCAGAAATAGATTTTTCTATTTCTGGTTCCTGGATGAGTTTCTGAGAAAAAAAACCCGTTTGATAACGACAAAAAATTTCTAGTTCTGGAACAAAAACCCGTTTGATAACAGCACAAAATTTCTATTTCCTGAAACAAAAACCCGTTTGATAAACAACAGAAAATTCTATTTCCAGGAAGAGAAATCCATTTTTTTAGAAATAGAATAAAAATAATTAAAAATTCGGAAAAATTCATAAAAATCTCAAAAATATTCAAAAAATCCCAAAAAATTGAAAAATTCCAGAAAAAATCATCAAAATGTCGAGAAAATAAAAAAATTCAGATTTTGGGATAATAGGAAATTTGTTTAATTTTTTCAAAAAAAATCAAGAAATCAAAATTTTCAAAACTTCACAGAATTACTTAGAATACATATAGCCACCTACTTTGAGTAAAATTTATATTTTTTGAGGTGCCCAAAAAAATAAAAAATAAAAAAAATTTCAAAATTTCACAAAATGGCTTAGAATACCTATGGCCACCCACTTTTTGAGTAAATTTTAATTTTTTTGGGATGCCCAAAAAAAATTTTAAAAAATTAAAAATTTCAAAACTTCACAGAATGGCTTAGAATACCCGTGGCCAATCATTTCAAGAGAAATTTAATTTTTTTGAGATTTCCAAAAAAAATAAAAAAATTAGAAATTTCAAAATTTCATAGAATGGCTTATAGAATACCTGTGGCCACCCACTTTGAGCGAAATTTAAATTTTTTTAGGTGCAAAAAAAATCAAAAAATAAAAAAATGAAAAATTTCAAAACTTCATGAGAATGGCTTAGAATACCAGTTAGCACCTACTTTGAGCGAAATTTTAATTTTTTAGGTGCAAAAAAAATATAAAAAATCAAAAATTTCAAAACTTCACATAATAGCTTAGAATACTTCTAACCACTCACTTTGAGTGAAATATACAATTTTTGAGGTGCCCAAATGGTATTTTTGATTTTTTGCATTTTTAATTTTTATTTCGTCACCTATAAAAACATTAAATTTCACTCAAAGTGGGTGGCCAAGTATTTTAAGCAATTCGAGAAGTTTTGAAATTTTTTATTTTTTTTAATTTTTTTCGACAGCTAAAAAATTAAAATTTCGCTCAAAGTGGGTACCATGGTATTCAAAGCCATTCATGAAGTTTTGAAATTTTTGATTTTTTAATTTTTTGGGGAATCTCAAAAAAATTAAATTTCTCTCGAAATAGGTGGCCACAAGTATTCTAAGCCATTCCGTGAAGTTTTGAAATTTTTAATTTTTTTAATTATTTCGACACCTAAAAAAAATTAATTTTACGTTAAATTCGTAACGTTACGTATGCCCGCACACAAATTCCAGTCAAATTAATGCAAATGGCCAAGCACTGGAAAGGGTCTTCAACATTCAACCACCATCGTTCTCGATATTTGCTCTCAATATTTGTGAGTATGCATCGTTCCTCATAATATCCCAAATGCTTATGGAGAAAAGTAAACCAAGCACATCACATTACAAGAGCCAATATAGGAGATCCCAAAATACCACATCACATTACAAGAGCCAACATAAAAAATCCTCAAATACAAAATAAAGAAATTACATTAGAAAAGTCGGAAACACTTTTTCATGGAATCTCCGCCATATTATTATCAATTGCCAATTGATTGGCAATTCTTTTCTTAAGCATGTTGATCTCGATATCCTCCTCAGTCGATGTATCGTCAATAACCTCATCTTGTGCATTTCCAAACGGATACTCTGAATCACCATATTGAGAAAAGTTCTTATCCATCTTGTCTTGATCACGGATGTAATTATGAATAGCACAACATGCAATTACAATACATGACTGCTTTTGAATTGAAAATGAAGGCATGTGTCTCAAAATGAAAAAGCGATTCTTTAACACCGCAAATGATCTCTCAATAACATTCCTTAGTGAAGAATGCCTATGGTTGAATAATTCTCTTGCTGTTGTTGCCTGCCTCACTCTACCCCTAAAATCATTAATATGATACCGTTCCCCTTTGAAAGGAGTCAAAAATCCCGGAGCTGCAGCATAACCAGAATCTACCACGTAGTATTTGCCTAGCAAAAGGTATTCATATATTGATCATGATTCGCAAATGCAATACAATTATACAGAAAATTATCCCATGAAAAACAAGCAAATACCTGGTGGAGGTCGAGGAAATTGTAAGCGATGTGTCTCGAGTGCTGCCGAGAGCACCCGACAATCGTTGGCAGAGCCTTCCCAACCAGCATACACAAATGTAAATTTCATATCAAATGAACAAACACACATCACATTTTGAGTGGTAATTCCTTTCCTGCCTCTAAATGGGATCTGTTTCGACACTGGTACAGAAGCATGAATGTGAGTGCCATCAATAGCGCCTATGCAGCCCTGTCATTTCAGCAAAGACTAGCATTATACAAGATTATCAATAAAATGTAAATGACGGTGTAAGGGAATGTATGCAAATCCTACCTTGAAGTAAGGATTATATTTAGGATTGATAAGAATTTCTTCTGGGACAACATCAAATGAAGGTGGTACGATAATTTCTCTTGCCAAATTCAGAACTGCTTGCAACACTTTAGCAAAGTACTTGCTGATAGTTTGTCCCGAATGTTGGAATCTCTCACATAAATCTCTATTCGAGTTCTTGTGAGAAATCATAGATAAAAATATCCCAACTTGTTCGTCTAACCTAATATATCGACTATCTGCCAACCAACCCCTCGCCTTCATTAAATCACAAAGGTTGAGAAAAACATGCCTCTCCATTCGAAAAGTTTCATATATCCTATCTGAATGTCCAAAAAGAATCTCTCTTATCCATTCAGTCCCTGACAATTTACTGTCCCTAATAGGTTCTCTCGTATGCATAGACATGTTCACCGAAACAGTACACATCCATGCTTTCAGTATATTAAGTTCAAAATCATCGAAGACCTGTTCAATTGGTTCAACTGATGCTATTGGACCATTATTGCTGCTACTTTCAACCCCCTCCATATTACCTATGCCCTCGCACGAAGAACACAAACACAACAAATAAGTCAGGAATCAACAGTAGTCACAACGTCATCATAGTTCCATAATTAACAATAGCCACGTCATCATAGTTGCATAATTAAAAACAAACCAAAGACATCATAGTTCCATAAATAAAAACAAACCAAAGTATCTCAAGGACACAAGTCATTAAGTAAAAATAAAGCAAACATGAAAAAGTCATCGTAGTTCTCAACATCTATTCAAAGAGATTCAAGAAGACCGCGTCTCCTTTCAGGTAAAGATAGGACGAAACCCTCTCTCCAGTTGGCACTAAGGCATGCTTGGTTCATAGCTTTGTTGTAAAGATTTTGCTCTAAGTCAAGCATGTCATTTAAGATGGCAACCACGGCTCCCATGGAGTAGGGGTTCTCGGGTGGGGGGACATGTGAGGTGATGGAGCCACTTGTTGATTGACTCGCCTTGGACTTGATCATATCTTGAATGGCTTTGCAGGTGCCAGCAATATCATATGTGCTACTCTTTCTCCTCCTCTTGGAATTTGGAGTCCTATCCAACTTGTGATTCTCACGAACTTGCGTGGCACTCACGTCAGGTGTGAAGACTCCATCACTAAGTTCGTTTGGATCACCTACCAAAGCACCACCACCATTGTCACCACCACTACCATCGTCTTCCCCCTCCGACACCACCAAGTATTCTGCATTTCCTACTGCGTAATCCCCAGTAGCATATGTATCGCCAAACACGATACACAGATCGGGATATTGAGGAAACCCATCCTTTCGGAATTTAGCCCATTCGATGTTATCCTGCAATTTAAAAAATAGTGACATACGTCAGCAACATAATCGAAACACACATCCACAATAAGAACAAAATGACCCAAGTAAACTGATACCTTGATGTGATCATCCCATACACTTGGATCCTCCACAATAACCGTTTTGTTAACATGATCCCATCCAAATCCAGATTGTGAAAGAAGCTTCTTATAACTCCCATACTGTCTCCTCAATTTGTTTGTCCTGTTCTTCAACTGAACTACAGTAAACTGGAGTGTTGTTTGTTTATTGAACTCGGTAACTATGTTATTCCATCCTACTTTGTTGTAGGTAGTAGTGGTGCGATTTCCTCTTTTTACCTCTTCAACCATTAAGCTTACAAGCAAATTGGTTAAAGGCTCAGTCCACTTTGCCACAAATGTCTCTTTTTGAGATGCCATTTACCCTTAACTGGTTGAACATCAAATGAAGCACATCATATGGTGTACCAATTCAAATGCAGAAAAGTATAAGAGAGAAAATGGCATAGTACTAGTCATCAATCATATTTCAGCATTCTTGAAATTCAATAAGGTTCACATGCCATAAGAACAGCACCATATGCAAGTTACAGCGGCAAATAGAGTTCTGCAATGGCAGCTAGTAATAACTTTTGCACATAAAGCCAACTTTTTCTTCTTGTTTATATTTTCTATAAGATAAGTAAAACGGAATTCACCGGTAAAAGACTTGGATGTCCTTGTAAACAACGAAGCATAGACAGCAAGTTGCTACTAGTGCAGCAACTACAACAAAGGGGATAAACAGCAAAACCGACTGTTGAAAATCACACCAAATTTCAAATAGACTTCACTTGCAGCAGTGAGAGCGACCAGAACTCTAGTTCGCAACAGCAATTGCAAAAAATAAAATCCTGAAACTAAAACTACATGATCACCTAGGAGATAACACTACAGCCAATGATTTTTATCCAGGAAAACAAAAGGAGGATTACGTTTGTTGCTCTCTGTGGTTTTGAAGCTTAAGATCACATTGCTGTTCGAAAGTGCAAAAGGAGTTTTCACATTTTTACATTGTCTCAAACTCATCACACAAGCGAAACAAGTAAACTGAATATACAATCTGCATAATCAGCAATTTCATCAAGTTAAATTGGTTTACAGTTAAGTGGCAACAGCCAATCAAACTAACTAATACACCATCAAATCCCAACCAGTTGAAGACATGCTCAGGGCATCCAATGTGGACAAAGTTCCAAATATAGAGTGATTATAGCTCGTTCAGGTTTTTAGCAGTGGGTTTAAACATAGCATACTAATCGATCACCTGACTTTTTTGAAGGTGCAACTAAAGGAATCAACATAAGCATATAGCTCGGTCTAGGTGATTTTCCATCATCCCCTAAAAAAAAAATTGGTCTAGGTGATTTTCTTGCGTAGGAACACAAATAGTTCGGGCTTTTTGATCACCATCAGTAAGTTCTATTCAAGTGAAATTCGAACTTGATGCTTGTAGCATCAGCTTTATCTGATATCCACTGAAGTAAGAGAAGACCGATGTCACAAAGTTCGCTTCGATCGCCTTGACTTGCGAACGCCCAACAGATCATGTTACACTCTAAAATCCCACGACAGCAATTCAATCAACTGAAAAAACAGGGGACACATACAAAGCAATCACGACAAACATCGGCCCCGAATCAAACACTAAAAACAACCGAATTTTTCCCAAACCGACCGAGGAAAGCAACGGACGCCGAGACTCCCGGGAGGAGGGTGATCTCTTTCACGATCTTTCTTCCCCGGGAGATATGAAGGCCCATGCGCGCGAGCAAAACCCACCACGTAAAAAAACCGGCGACTTTTCGAGACATCAACCTCGTTCGCACGCACCCATTCCGAAATTAAACGAACAAAAAAAGGGAAAAAACCTCCATGGAAATGGTGAAATGCGGCGGTCGACCTCGCCGTCGCCCGGATCTGGGCGATGGCGAGGTCGACTCGGCCATATGCGAGGCCGCTCGGTGGGGAGGCGGCGGCTCTCGCCATGGCGGCGGTCGACCTCGCCGTCGCCCGGATGCGGGCCATGGCGAGGTCGACCGCCCTGCACTGGGCGGCCGGCGGCTCGCCATGGCCGGTGGTCCACCTCGCCGTCGCCCGGATGCGGGCCACGGCGAGGTCGACCCGCCGGCCATGGCGAGGCCGGAGCCGACCCTCCCGATCACGGCGACTTCCAAATCCAGAAAAGAGAGAGATGAGAGGAGATGCAGGGCAGGATCGGAGCTTACGTGGAGCAGGAGCGAGCGAGCGAGCGGCCCTGGCTTCCTCTCGGTCGGAGCGAGCGAACGAGTGGCCTGGCTTCCTCTCGACGGCGACGGAGAGAGTACAGAGAGAGACGGGCAGATCAGAGAGAGAGAGATGAGAGGAGACGAGAGACAGATGTTTTGAAGAGAATGAGTTCCTCAGAAATGGTTCTGAGTTTTGTTCAAGAAACAAAAAACCAACTTTTTTTAGGTTCTGATTTTTGGTTTCAGAACCGGTTCTGGGACAAAACTTGTCCCGGAAATAGAAAAATAAAATTACGTTACCAAACGGGTTTCTGGTCCAAAACTGATTCCGGGAACAAAAAACCGGTTCTGGACAGAACCAGAATGGTTACCATGCGCGCCCTAAGCACATCCGCTAGGAATCTCCTAACTATACCAGCATTAGAGAGAATTTTTTGGGTCGTCTCTAGTAATATTCTACTCATCAACTCTGCAACTTGTTGTGGTTCACTGGCACTAGTGCGGTGTTTCGCTGAGCATTCCTTCATGCAGAATTCGTTTAATAACCTCGAGCAAAACTCCATGCTATTGTTAGTCTGCACCTACTTGATCATCTTACTAATCTCCTTTTCCATCAAAGCTTTTAACTGTATGATCCTAACAACAACATCAAAATTGTGCCTTAGCACAAACACTCAAGTCTTCCTCAAGTAGTCGTCCACAACAGTTAGCATAAATTTAGCACTCTTCCTTGAAGAAAAACGTCACAACCTGCGTACATCCATGGTTTCTTTAACAGTCATACTGAACTGCACTTTCCGTCGTCGATCTAAGTTACAACTCCTCAATATATTCAGTTTGTTAGCAACATAACCACATAGCAAATTCCCTTCACTTAAAATCTTCAGGCTTCTCTAGCTAAAGTGCCCCAAACTCATATACCATAATTTAGACTCTCGAATGGATGCCTCCGACGTCTCCACGATGAATTCTGTCACTATTTCACCTTGAAACTCACACATGTCACTATGCTTAATTCCGCTCATTATCACTAAGGTACCTCGAACAACCTGCGAAATTCCACTTTCTGAAATATACCGATACCCAGCTGAAATCCAAGACACTCAAGGAAATCAGATTTCTCTTCAACTTTAGAACATGCCTCACTCTAGCCAATGTCCTCAGGATGCCATCATGCATTCCGATTTTGATATCACTAACACCCACAACATCACACTTAGCAATGTTTCTCAACTGTGCTTTACTACTATCCATGCATTGATACGTAGTAAGCCAGTTCCTATTAGGTGTAGCGTGAAAAGAACAACCAGAATTCATAATTCATTCGCCAAACGACGAATCATTAGTGACAAACAAAACAAAATCAGCACTATCCGAATTACTATCAGATACATCTATAACATCATCTGTAGACTTAACTCTAATTCCCTTACCCTTGTTGTTTTTTAGCTTAAAGTAATCCCTTCTAAGATGCCCCTTTTTGCCACAACTCTAATAGATAGCACTACCAGTCCTAGACTGATTTTATATTTTCATGTTTATACTATTTCTGCTAACACGAGTATCAGTTCTTCCTCTTCTTTCATCTACTAAAGCAGCATATACAAGTTCACCGGATTCTCTTATATGGATATCCTCACTCAGAATCGAATCTTGAACCCCATTAAACGTCAAACTTGTTGACCCAGAGGAATTACTAAAACAGTGACAACAATATTCCAACTATCAAGCAATTAGGATAATAGAATCAAAGCACGTATCTCATCTTCAAAATCAGTCTCAAGTGAACTCAATTGACTAACGATCCCATTGAATTCATTAATATGATCAGTAACTAATGCACCTTTGCCTAATTTTAAGTTAAACAAATGTCGCATCAAATAAACTTTGGAGAGGATTTCTTGTACATGTTCGACAAGGCTTTCATCAAACTCGCAATGGTCGTCTCTTTCACGATGTTAAATGCAACGTTACGAACAAACGTTATCCGAATAACACCCAAATCTCGTCTATCTAGCAATTCCCAATTAGCTTGCTTCATCATTTCTGTCTTCTCCTTAAATAGGGACAAGTACAATTTCATCTTATACAAATAATCCTCAATTTGCATATTCCAAAAATCAAAATTCTTCCCATTAAATCTATCGATTTCACTTTTTCTTCTTCAATTGCTATCGATTTTTTTCAACTCAATCAAGACTAGCTTTGATACCAATTGTTGGTAGAAGTAAGCAATCAAACAATAAAATATATAGAATAAGAAAATAAATCGGACACAAGATTTACTTGATTTGATCATAGTGACTTACGTCCACGGAAAGAGCAGTACGAAATTTCACTATAGATCAAGTGATATAATAGAAGTTACAACTACACTCAAGTCACTCAAACACTCTAAGTATTTTCCAAATCCTCAATTACACACAAAAAATCACGTAGTGTTTACCCCTACAAATCCTCACAAAATCTCTCAATCTCACGAAAGAATTAAACGTAAATCTTATCACAAAATTTAATCGACTTTGATACTGAAACTTCTTGGTGTAATTGCACGAACGAAAACCAACGAAAATAAACCCCTGCCAAGCACTCGCTTGAGAACGGTGCTTTAAGATTTTTTTCACTCACATCAACCATGGCATGCACACTTGAGGCAAAAGAACAGCTCACATTTATACGTGGGGTCCACGGTCAAACTTTCCTCTTGAAGTGGAGTCCAACTCCAACTCGGAAAGAAAAGGCTGAGAATAAAAGTCCACCTTCCTTGTTGGCTCCTTTGCTTTCTCTGACCCAATCAGCAAACCCACGCTTTTCATTAAAGTCCATAATTTCCTATTTTTTTTCTTTTATTCTTTGGCCAACTTTAACGTGAAAATAGAAGGAAATCCCTGTACAACTAATATTCGGTTTTCAAATTTTACGTACCGTATAATTTAATTTGGGTGAGGTTTGCTCAACGGGCTTAAACTCGAGATATATTATAACAATTACCATTTGGAAAGATTGTACTTTTATTCCCTATATTTTCATGTTTTTCCTAATCAAGTATGTACACTTTTGATTTACCTAATGAAGTCCTTTTAATTTCAAAAATTTTCTAATAAAATACCTTCAACAATAAATCTGCCCAAATTCAACTGACAAAATCGTTGGACGACACCAA